AGAAGGGCCGAACTGAGAACGGATCCGGCACGTATCTCTCCTCGGGAAATCCCTGCCTCGACTTCTTCTTTCACGTTGTTCCAGACACGCCTAAGGAGTCTCTAGAGCAAAGACTCCAAGCGGCTTGGAATCACGACGCGTTAACAACTCTCAAACTTATATGTAATCTTCGTGGAGTCCGTGGTACTGGAAAATCTGACAAGGAAAGGTTTTACACGGCGGCGTTATGGCTCCATGTTTACCATCCCAAAACCCTAGCTTGTAATCTCGAGTCCCTCTCCGAATTTGGGTAATTTAAGGATTTTCCCGAGCTTCTTTATCGGATTCTACAAGGTTCTGAGATCCGTAGGATCCAGAAATCTCAATGGATCCAGAGGAAAAGAGGAGTATGTAGACGTAGAGGGAGAGCTCATATCTCTCTTGACACCTCAAGATTCTCCTCTCGTGGAACTTGTTGTGGAATTTGTCGTGGTGGTCGCGGTGGACTTAGTCGTGCTGGTCGTGGAATTGGACGTGGTGGTCATGGAGTTGGTTGTGCTTGTAGTCGTGGTGGTCCTCGTAAAACGGGACCAGCAGCTATAAGGGCCCTAAGGGCTTCTACAAGGGAGTTAAGGATAGCAAACACAGAGAAGAGAAACCAAGCGGAGAAAGCAAAAGCATCTTTAAATCGAAAGATAGAGAAGATATCAACGGGGAAGAAAGCTTTCAACGTATCTCTGATCTATTTGCACAACACTTGAAGAAAGACCTCGAGTCCTTCAGTTGATTTAGCTTTCGACAAAGCAACTCTCCTCTGCGAAAGCATTGCTAAGAGAGTATTTTCACGTGAGTCCTTCCCTGAATACGAAGGCGTTGAGGAAGCTCACTATGCTTATAGAGTCCGTGATCGGCTACGGAAACAAGTTCTTATTCCTCTGAGGAAAACTCTGCAACTCCCTGAAGTTTACATGGGAGCGAGTGATTGGGAATCTCTTCCTTACAATCGTGTAGCATCAAAGTGGCGATGCAAACATACAAGGACATATTCTTGAACCACGATGAAGAGAGGTTTCAGCAATATCTTGAAGACGCGAGAGCAGGGAGAACGAAGATAGCTGCGGGAGCTTTGTTACCTCATGAGATAATCCGTGATTTAGAGGGTCGTAGAGATGGTGGATAAGTGGCCGAGCTACAATGGCAACGAATGGTGGATGATTTGAAGAAGAAAGGCTCTTTCACAAATTGCATGGCTATTTCTGACGTATCAGGGTCTATGGAAGGTGAACCAATGGAGGTTGCTGTTGCTTTGGGTTTGCTTGTGTCTGAGTTATCTCAAAAGCCATGGAAAGGGAAGATGATAACTTTCACCCATAAACCAGAGGTGAAAGGGAAAGATTTGAAGTCAAAAACAAGGTTTGTAAAGAACATGGAGTGGGGAATCAATACTGATTTTCAGAAAGTGTTTGATCTGATTCTAAAGGTTGCTGTTGATGGGAAGTTGAAATCGGAGGATATGATTAAGAGGGTTTTTGTATTTAGTGATATGGAGTTTGACCAAGCTTCTTGTTCTCCTTGGGAAACGGATTATAAGAGGATTGTGAGCAAGTATAGAGAGAAAGGGTATGGAGGAGTTGTGCCAGAGATTGTGTCTTGGAACTTGAGAGACACGACGTCAACTCCGGTCATGGGAAGACAAAAAGGAGTGGCGTTGGTGAGTGGCTTTTCCAAGAATTTGATTAAAGTGTTTTTGGATCGTGATAGAGAGATTGATCCGGTCATGATCATGGAAGATGTTATATCTGGTGTAGAGTATAGTAAGCTTGTTGTAATTGATTGACAATGATTCGGGGTTTGGTTTTGTTTGTGTGTGTGCCTAATTGTGGTTATTTTAGTAAAATAAATTTGTTTTTTTCTCCTTACAAGCTTTGAATTAGAGTAGCTAAGTAGTATAATATATTTCTCGACTTCTAGTACCTAGTACCTACTACAGTTTCAATGATTGGTTAAAAGGATAAAAACACGGTTTTTTACAAACCTTGAGAAAATTAGTTTAGATTTCAGTCTTTCAATTGTAAAATAAACATTAGATATTTCACATACTATAAGGTTTAAAATCAAAATCTTATAATTTAAATTGTAAATAATTTTTGCACGAAAGCTAAAGCGTGACA